AAAATCTTGCCTTCCTGATCTTCCTGTTTCCCTCTTGCTCACTCCCTCTGGCTGGAAAATCTACTCGGTGAGCTCAGAACAGAGGGTCCGACCTGTTGAATCATGTTTGTTTGACCCAGTCTCAATCACTCAAGTGGTTCTTCGGTGCAAAACAGCACTGATGCGACCACGAGGACCACCTAGCGAATTGGTCAATCCTTCAACGAGACAAGAGAAGAAAGAAGGACAGGAGGGACGGAGAGGCGAAAAGGAACTTGCCGTGTTCTTAAGGAAATAAAAATGTGCGTCAGTCCGTTTTTCATGATGACACTCTCAATTCTCAACGAAAATACACGACATTGAGACCCTTCGACCATTTCTAAGACGGGATGATGCGTTGAGTTTGTACCGGTTGCTGGGCCTCTCAAAGGAAATACTCCAAAACGATCTCGACCAACAATGCTGAGGCCGGCCACAGCCAGCGCCTCGCGATCCAGGGTTGTTTGTTTTCTGCTCTCTTGGGATAACGTAGCGAATTCTGTCAATATCGATCAATATGATTGCATCTTTACAGTATACTGTACCATACCAAGGGTCTTGCTTGAGGGATGCTTATATACTAAGCATCAATGATGAGAGTAGTTTAAAGTATATACTGTATTCTATTGTGTTGAGCTTTCTTGACTTCAACGCACAGTTACCTGAACCTTCAAAGCTGAAAGCACCCGTGCCTTTGCACTGTCACCTTCAGTGAGAATTAATGTGCACTCCTCAACACAAAGGCTGTCTCGAAAGTAGTCACTTGAACGTCATAACACATAGGTCTACAAGTGCGAAAGCAATATTGTATGCTTAGCAATAGATTGGTGGTCCGCAAATTGTCAAAGGATACCTTCCAGAGAATTCAAGAGCTCATTTTATCAGGCTCCGAAACTATCGGAGTGCCATTTCATCTGCGGATGTCGAAAGCAACAGCTAGGAACCTGCAGTCCTCTGAGTGCTTGGTGCCAGCCAAATTGGCGTCTTCCAGCTTGGGAATCTCAGCATTTTCGGTCAGATCCAGTTGCTGCTTTTCGGCACAGTGTGGTACATTGCACGCATCTGCTCTAACATGGGGCATGGCGACGGGGTGAGCAAAGGCCTACTGCAGAGCATGTCAGTTGGCCAGTCTCCACTCACAAGAACAGTCTGTGAGGTGGCCTCCAGTTTGCACCATCGAAATACAAACGGCCAAGGGCGTTGCCCCAATGAGGCGGTTGGCGCGTCCTGCTCCCTGGCAGTGGAAGGAAGGCCCGGAAGGCTCAAGACGAAGCCAATGAACAAATCAAAAGTCACTCGTTGCTCCTTCTAACCAGCTTGGACTGCATGTCAACAGCAGGATTCAGAAGCTCTGGATGTGAGCAGGGGCACATAAAATCCTGTTAATGGCCAGTGAGCGTCTGGCTCATGCTGAAGCCCGCACCCACGATCACCCACCTGTGCCATGTTCCAAAGTCTCGCCTTCATTTTCTTCTTCATGTCGATAGTTTCTCTAGCTTTCGCCCACTGCCTGAGCCATTTATGACACAAATTATCGTGTCTATGCTATCGTGTCTAACGTCCAGGAGACCTCACACGTAACTGACGCTTACGGCCCCTCCAAGCACAGAGCAAGACGGTGTCTACGATGCCCATGGACACTAACCTTGGGAGAGACGGCGATTGGACGAACAACTGAGACATGAGACCTGCTCTGCCGAGCGGCGATCGGATGGATTTATCCTGCACCTCGCATTTAGAGCCTGGCAGCGTCGTTTTGGTGATGTGTCTTTCAAGAAGCTGGTATAACATGTGCATTCTATTCAACAGAAACTAGACTGCCAAGATCAAGTCTTGTGAGGCCCAAAACAAATAGAGGCAGAACTCTCGTGTGTTGATGTCCCAACAGCAGGCCTGCCACCTGGAAGCCAAATAATATGTATATATATATATATACGGTATTACTTGTTCAAGAAAAGGTCCGAGCAGCCTGAAGCCCTCGCAAACTAACAACTGTGTGACTTGGATGGAGCTGCCGGCAAGAACCTCTAGAAGGCCTTCAAGCAAACGTGTCAACAGTATCAGCCTTAAGATCTTTCAGCTGTGAAAACAGTGGCAGATTCACCGAATTTGCTCTGCTTCAAGGTCATGGTCTCCTGTCATGCTACCAGAAGTATCACGAAAGGGCCACAAATGTCAGTCTAGTGGAGCCTCACTCAGCTCCAAGCTACCGTGTTCCATTTCCATGATATGACATGTGTAGAGGGTTGCCATTGCTCAGCTCGTTGAAAACGAGCCTGCCTTCGTTTGGGAGTCAAAGGTGGGATTGACCACGAGGCAATTCACGAAGACCCACAAGTGTGAACCTCACAGCTGAGGAGGATGCGTCAAGTCCAGGCCGTTGAGAAAGTAAGATCTGTAGTTCTCCAGCTATGGATGAATGAAAGCTCTAAAAGTGAGTTGTCTATCTGTTTTTGAGAATGCCTCCTAGCTAAACTGGTCATGTTCCTTCCTCTTTGAGGATTCTGAGCGGTTCGTTGAAGAATGAGAGTGACCCGCTCTCTCCTTCAGCTGGCATCTTGACCAGTCTTTGCAAACCTCGAGTCCATTCACTTCCCTCTTTTGGCTCCCTTTCGGCTTCCGGCGGATGTGGTTCGGCTTCACTTCCTGATTAACTCCGGCCCACATCGCACACCGAGTTTCTTCGAGGAGCGGATACTACATACCTCGTCTCTCAAGCGGTTGCTTCCAAAGGCCAACCTCCAAACAACTGCTACAAACCCTCTATATGTTATATACTACAGTGTATAATTCTTCATCCGCCAAGCTGCCATTCCACCCTTGTTCCTCTTATTGACCTTGTCCAGGATTGCATCCTTGGATGAAGAATCCAGCCATCAGTGGGTCTGCTAACATATCTAACATCCCATCAGCCAATGAGATCCAAAAAAGAATGCGAGGAAGCCATTGACATCCACTGAGGATGAGGACGACAAACTGCTCGGTGATGTGCGACACATGCGTCCCACCTCCGGGATGAGAAGAGGCGGCTGGATCCGACAGGCGTTCGCTGAGAAGAGGTGTTGCTCTGCAACAACGAGTGCTTTCTTGTTTCCAAGTCTTGGTGGAAACGGTGATCAGCAGGTCTTTCTTGTGACCCAAGACCTGAACTTATTCAGACATCAGAGAAAAATGTGCCTCTCAGCCTGCAGCTACCTGTAGTATCCTGTAGTTGTGTCCATGAAGAAAGACCTAGCAGCATCCACAAATATCCACTGCCTTTGATCGTGTTGATGGAGTTCACGAAGGACACCTGTTGGACTTGGTCCACTGAGAAGGGAAAGAGTATTACGTATTTGGATGATGTCTGTCATTTGTGGTATGTGGCCCTGCATTGAGAAAATCACGTGCTCGCTTCTGAAAGCCAAAAACATGTGAGCGTTAAAATGAGAGGATCTCCCAATTGCAAACCATTCTACCCTCGGGGTTGTTCCGCCTTGTGTTTGAAACGCACCTTCGTCATCCCTCGTCTACCACTACCACCGATCAGTTGGAACTCCTCAATAGCCACACAACCGGCTGCACACCTGGCCTGTTGAAATTGCCCTTCAGAGAAGGTGATGACGAATTCCCAACCTCAGCCGTCGAGCAATTCTGAATCCAGTGCTCTCAAAACCAGTATTTTCGGCCCGAAGGAAGCATGAGAAGGTCAGACTGAAAAGAGACACTGAGCTCGCTCGCGATCGCCACATTTGTCATAGACCTTCTGTTGGTCCTTGCCACCGTGCACCGACGGAATGTCCGCTCGCTCCAGGTGGATGAGCCAACCCGACTCCGGACTCGCCGACTCGCCGAAAAGCACCGGTGGCAAGCCGTGCCGAACAGCAAATCACGATCCAATCCCTGGTACGCCTTGCCACGATCTACTGATATACTCTGCAACACGGACTCTACTCTACTTTCACATTTTGGAATTGATCACATTGCGAAACAAGGAATGTGCTTGATCGACAACGGTGCTTCGTGTGCAATGAGTCGTGCCACAGACTCCTCCTTCTCGAAGTATAAGTCCACATAATCCTGCAACCATGAGCATCTTGTACCATGTTAGGAGCAAGGACGCTACTGGGGGCTCCTGGCCTTACTACTAGTAACAAGAAGCTACTAGTAGCTCCTAGGTATCTGGTATCTGGTATCTGCAAGTCTCCCCCTTCACTATTGGCAATGATTTTTGCGGATAATTGCAGGAGAAAGGTGCGCAAGGCACTGCAACTTGGAGCCGTTTGGACAAATTCCAAAATTGCACGCTTGCCCAATCGCCTTGAACTCCTTCACTGGAACCGGGGTTTCATCCAAGAAGACTTTGCACCTGGTATGACAGAGGCTGTGTGTGCTCGGTATCCAGATGTGGAAATCACCAGCTGGTGCTGCGAAGAAGTCTGTTGAAACAAGTTCTAAAGCACTGATGAGATCAAAGAAACTGAAGCCGCCCTGCCGGGCCCTACCCGGACAAGGCCTCCTTAGATGTGCATCTTAGACTGAGTTGCGAGCTTCTTATTGGTTGAGCCACCAGCATCCTGCATTTATGCTTGTGAATATGAGTGGAACTGCCCAAGAGCATCCAAGAGCGGTTTCTGTTTTCAATTCGGGTGGAATCGCCCAAGCCCAAGCCGGCCGGTCCATCACCCGCTTCTGCATCAGGGACACGATGTCCTGCGGCAAAAGGTCCTAGTAGTCTCCTTTACTAATTAAATTCTAATTAGTAAGCTTCTTGTTACTACTAGTAAGGCACTTGTTACTAGTAGCGATGCACTTGTTACTAGTAGCTTATTGTTTCTAATTAAACTCTAAGTTATATTGTTTCTACTAGCTTCTTGTTCCTAGTAGTAAGGCCCTTGCTCCTAGTAGCGATGCCCTTTGCTCCTAGTAGCGAACCTTAGAACCTTTTCCAGGCAAATTTAACATTGAGTTGGAGGTCATCGGCCATCACTATTGGTTGGAGATCAGGCTTTGGCATGTGAAGCTTTCAAATCATGGTCCTTGTCAAGCTTTGTCATGCCAAAGCGCTTCAGGTCTGGATAGAATGTCACCTTCGTGAAGTCCTGACCAAGTCGCATGGACACATCTGGATGTATGCATGCATGCACCTTCTTGCACTTTGGGCCCCATTTCGGAAGACAGATCCACATAAGTGTCTCAAGAGGCACCTTGCCAGAATACTTGGTGATCTTAGCCTTGCCCTTCTCCTAGATGGAAAGAAGGACTAACGACAAAGTCAAACGAAGGATTCAAAGGCACAACTGAGCTTCCAACACCCATATTGTTCTCCCAGGTTTGCACATATCTGTGCCCCCGTTCACCATCGGCACACTCGATCATCTCAGTTCGTGTGAAACCCCAAAGCTGGAGTCCCGAGAGTGTGCAAACACAAGGAATCAACATAACATTCGGCATATGATGGCATATGCTTGTGTCCATTGACACGAATGGTGCTTGTGATCAAGGTGCCCATTCAAAATCTTTTGTATGTCCATGCCAGAGACAACCCTCGACGGTGACACTGGTGGATCGCTACCTCTTCCAGTTCCAGTTTCAGGCCAGTCGCAAATTTGGTGGAGAAAATGTTCGTGAGCTTTGCACCATAGCCATTTCTGCCACCTGTGACCTGCCAAAATCGAAATCGTTGCTCAATCCATGCTGATCTCTCCGAACTCACAGCATCCGACGTCTCGTGTCCATCTGTGACGAAGAGAAGAAGCACCCATTTTGAGCACCCGAGTTCTGTCCGGTCTGGAGTCGGAACCCGGAGGCACTGAGCCTCATCGATGTTTTTGTACAATTGGAGCAGTGACGCTTTGCACCCTGGCGTCTTTGGAGCAAACATTCAGGATAAACTTGGTGTGATGTCTTGGATATCTTGAGACTGGTATCTATCTATCTATCTATCTATCTATCTATATATATATATATATATCGTGTTATATATTACAAGATGCAACCATCTTTGTTGTTCAACAAATGTGAAAGGAACAAGCCACCAAACGCGGCATCAAAGGCGTTCCTCTCATGCCCACCAAGGTGCACCATGCCGGCCCAACTGGCTCGGGTTTTGAAAGCGGCCCGCCACGCAGAACTCACGTGCATCAAATTCAAACCTGTGGAGGCGTGCCTCACATCTCTTGGCGTCTCTAGGCCTCCTCAGCGTTTGACTCGCGCATGACGATGGCAGAAAGACTCGATGCGATCCCAGGCTTCCTCCAACACCTCCACTGGTGCTGCAAAAACCACGCGGAAGAAGCTTGGTGCACAAAAGCACTGTCCAGGAAGAACGGCCACAGACTCCTCCTCCAAGAGTTTCCCAGCGAATTTGACATCATCATCGATGTTCAGTACACCGGGCTGTAGGCGCACCATCAAGTACATAGATCCCTCTGGCTCTGCGGCAACCTCCAAGCCAGGGATCCTTTTGCAGCGTCGCACACAGCATTGTGCGCTGGCCTCCAGTGCCGCCAGGACGTCCCTGTGCCAAGCACAACCATCTGGCACTGTGGTCAAGATCTCGGGCATAGCCGCCTGAAGTGGTGCGGTCGGTCCCAAGGAAACTTGGCAAAGCTTCAACAAAGTCTCTGGTACACCTGCATCTGCAAAAGCTCCATCTGCATCGTGGACACTGATCCATCCGAGACGCCAACCAGGAGCCAGCCAGCGCTTCGACAGAGCACAAACAGATAGAATGGGCACCTGTGCAGAAGCTGCTGCACATGATACAAAAGGCCTGGAAAAGCTCATCCCAGCATAGACTTCATCTGCAATCACTGGGAGGCGCAATTGTAATGCTGCTTTCAAGACCTCCTCAAGGTGCTCACGAGGGAACACAGTGCCACAAGGGTTTGAAGGATTGTTGATCAGCAAACCGCAGGTATTCTTATCAACCAGCTTAGCAATGCCCCCAATGTCACATTGCCAACCCTTCTCTGGCAACAAGTCGTAGTAGCGTACCTCGACTCCGTGGTAGTCACAAAGTACTTGGTACAATGGGAAGCCCGGGCGCGGCAGGAGCAAATTGCTGCCTGGAGCAGCTAAGGCTGCAATGCAATGGGAAAGAGCTTCAGAACACCCCAGCGTCATGAAAACATCCTTGGCCTGCAGTGTGGGTCGACCAGGTGTGTCGAAGAAGGCAGCAACGGCTGCACGGCATCTGGCACTCCCCTGGCTTGGCTGGTATCCATTGTTTTGTCCCGAGTTCACTGCATGGGAGACAGCCAGCACCATCTCTGCACTGGGTCGCAAGTGCGGGTAGCAGGTGGGATCTCCTTGTGCCAAGGACACCAAAGATTTGCTTGGATTTTCTTTCCCTGCAATTGTATCCATAATCTCCCTGATGGGGTTGCGGATTCCTTTGGCTCGCTCACCAAGTCGAATGCGCCACTTGGGGCTCTGTACAGCCTCGTTCTCAAGAGCTCGTTTCCTTGAATTTGCCCTGGTCTCCACTGTAGTGATTGTAGCAGCAACGGTGGCCATCACGTCAAATGGAAATGGCAACAAATTGGAAAAGACGTGCAACAATCACAACCCACTTGAGCCAACAAGCCCTCAGTGGCCAACAGTAACCACCAATCTGGTCAACACATTCTATCTCAACGACAACGACGTGTATACACATATCACATATTATGTGCATAAGTGCACACAGCCATGGGCAGAAGTAATGCTACTAGAATATTGGCACAAACATAAACATTTAAATTTAGAGGTATCAAGGTTCAGTGCCTTGTTGTCATCATCATCGTAGTTGTCACTAGTCAGCAAGTGTCCAAAGACCTAAGAATCTGACGGCGCCCGGAATCAGGTGGAGCCAAAGAATCACTATGAATCACTTATAAAGCCCGCAAACAATGCTGCTATATCATAAACACCAGGCCAAACTGGGACCATCACCATCTCCGGAACATACATCTTGTGCTCCTTGCAGGTCACGCACAATAGCCACTTTTTTGTTGTTGTTGCTGTTGCTGTTGCTGTTGCTGGTGCTGTTGCTGTTGCTGTTGTTTTGTTGTTGTTGTTGTTGCTGCTGGTGTTGTTGTTGTTGTTCAAAGTCCTACATGACGACAGCTACGTAAATTCCATCAAATGTTACCGTATGTCGTATGTCAGGGTATTTCATTGGCAAGGGACCTTCTCGCGGACTCCTGCACGAGAATACCTGAAAAAGAAAAAAAAATCGATCTACCAAAGCGACTCCTGTCCTTATGAATCTCCACTGGTAATGTGGCGCCGTTGTTTGCAATGGAGATCCAACCTTCCTCGGCATTGATGTTGACCTCCAAACTCAAAACAGTCTCAAGCCTCATGAGTGTGTATTCAACACGTCCTGTCACTGCCTTCCCATCAGACAAAGAGACAAAGACAAGAAACAACTGATCACAAACCATTCACCTGAATTAAATCTATCCAAGTCCTTTGTCCAACATGTGAGTGTATGTATATAGCCTTCATCTGATGAAAACATTCCAAAAGTTCTGTCACTGCGCATCTGTAATAAGCTTCCGCGTTGCTCATTTATCTGGCACTGGAAGTCATGTGGCTCAAATGCAAGCTTTGTGCAGAGAGGTCATGATTTTGCAGTCGACTCTATACTTAGCTGGTGGCACCAGAATCTGCTTCATCCCCATCAGCTATGCCATAAGACTCGGCCACGGCTTTGTTCACTGACGGCAGCCACAAGCGAGCACACTTCACCAGAAGCTCCCCGTCGATGGGTGATGTGCGCATATCTTGATTGATTAGCTCCAAGATGTATTCCATGGCCCGAGCCGCAATGAGGCGTCGCTGTTGCATCTGAAAGAGCGCCAAGGTCACAGCCAGCACCCCACGAAGTCCTGATTCAATGAACAAATCCATGGCCTCAATCACTGCTGGCAGTGGAAGCCATTTGCCAAAGAGCGAAAGCCAACCGTTGGGGAGATAGCTGAGAGGTTCCACTCCACAGCGATGAAAGTGGCTGGAAAGCTTGGGCAAGTGGCGCTCGGCCAATCTTTCGTAGAGCTTGACCCCGACTCCAAGCAATGGAAAGCCCTCAGACCAAAAGCCACTGAACTGCAGAAGGACCTCTGTGAACTTTTTTCGTGCTGTGTCCTCACGTGGATGAAACTTCAAGACCAGCGTCGCTGCAACATAGTTCATGCCCTGGGTGTAGCCGATGTCAGGATTTTGGTGTCCAAACTCCTCCAGAATGCGAAAGATCTGCGGTTTTCGCGGCGCGACCATCGGCATATCAGCAAAGGTTCGCTCCAAGTCGTTGGCAATCGAATTGGCCCGTTCCTCGGGGCTAACTTGCTCAGTCAAGCCGCTTGCGCGCAGAGCCATGGATCTAAACAAGAAAAGAAGAGCTGTTCAGCAGTTTCGATTGATTCAATAAGTTAGTCGTTGTGAAGTTGGGAATGAGTCAATGAGCCACATCTTGTGAACAAGTCTGGCCTACGGTAGATATAGATTGTACACATACCTTCTGGTTGAGGATGCTACAAAAAAAGTATGGCGCCAAACCAAGCTATTAGCTTTTGGATTCAATAGAAATCGTGAATTATACAGTATAGTCTGATTGATTGTTTTGAGCCATACATCAGCAGCAGGAATGCATGGTGCAGCATCACAAGATTCCCAGGTGTCAAATAAATCCCACAGGGAAAACGAACGAGGCGCCTTAATGTATGTCATGTGATCTGGGTCACGTTGAAAGTTGTCACAAGCATTCACGAGAATCTCGTCAAAGATCTTGTAGAGGCCCGGAACGAAGTTGATCTACGGTGGGACAGGCGTGACTAGTGGGACAAAGGTGAGAACCAATGAGAACGTCCAAACATCCTACAAGTAGCCTGCTGCTGTGACCTTTTAGGGTCAAAACGATAGAAGTACGATAGAAGTCAAGCACTGCAAAAAAACAAAAAAAACATCCAAAATAAGGAACTGCCCGCCACCAAGCTCAAGCGTTCGGAAACTTGATCGGTCAAAGACCCCGATGAACATGTGAGCACTGCAAGCCAGAGATGACCTCCTTTTGAACGATCTTCTGCTTTTTCTCATCCCAGACCCATAGCCTGCCCATTGGAGCACAGCTACAGAAGAATTGAAAAGGGCAGCATAGGACAGCCGGATGTAGGATGCAAAAGGATAAAGTTGCCTTTCTTTCTGCGACTCGATTGCACCAACGTAGGTATCGGGTCCTTGGCAGTCGTTTCCCACTCATGCCGTTCTAAAGGAACACCTGGTCCCGGAGAGATGCACGCATCTGTCAGTGCCAGTGACATGCAACCCCAAAAGCTAGTGCCATCTGACCAACATGAGTGACATCTGACCAACATTCACTGTGTCAGTGCGTCGGTGGCCCAAAGCCGCAAGACCACCGGAAAATATGTGTATATATATATATACAGTCTAGGCGAACCACGTGCGTGTCATGTGGCGCCTCTTTTCGCTGCTAAAAGGTTCGGGCCAAGGTGCACCCTTCGTGCAAGTTCATGGTAAAAGGCGATCGGACCATCACGAACGGGCTTCATGCTCATTCACACTGCTGTACTTTTCTTTTCGTGATGGCTCAATCAACTGCACATAGGGGCACTTCAGCCATTCGTGCAAAGTGGTCCTCAGGACCTTGCTCGCCTTGGTCAAGGCGTCCGCCCACATCACTCCCGTAGGGCACCACCTGATGGTGCGGGAGGAAATGAATTGCTGGATGCTCCGGATGTCCACGTAGGTCCTCTTCTCGGTGGTCTTTGGGTGTTCGGCGCTGATCGCGTCGAAGAGTGACTTGCAGTCGGTCACCTGGAGCTGCTCCAGCCGCCAGGACTTCATGTCCTTCGTGGGCTTCTCGCCGCTGAGGAGCTCGCTCAAAACCAGGTTGGCAAAGTAGCCGCGGTCGACGGAGTCGTCGCAGGACATTGCTTCGCTTGCCAGGGTGCTTCGGCAGACGCGGCTTGAGCGGTTGCTCCGCCAGTCAACGAGGTTGGCTGCTGTGTTCACCTCCGTGCACATCGGAGATGTGAGCAAGACCAAACAGCCTTGCTGTGAGGAACACTGCTGGGCGTTAGCCCATGAGGCGTCAGCGTACCCCACAATGACCGTTGAGCGGTCAATGGCCACATTCTGGAAGACGAGGCCGTTGTCCTTTGTCTCCCTGCAGAACTCGAGCGTCTCGTAGAGGGAGGCCAGCTCGGAGGGCGAGGTCTCGCTTCCTTTGTTGGCCAGAGAGACCCAGGCTGAGATCTCTGGCCTGGTTTGGCTTGCCAGCCATTGCAGTGATCCAGTCATGGATCGGAACTCTGTCTGCTCCGCGGTGGTGAGTGGACCACCCTGGGTGATTCTTCCCTTCTGCAGCTTGCCGCCATCGGTGTTGTCGATGAACTTGGACTGCGTCACGTGGAGGCGCAAGCTGCCATCGCTGGAGCGCTTGAGGGTCAGCTCCTTTCCTTTGAACTCGAGAGGCTGCTGCTCGCTGAGTTCGGACTGGGAGCCCCACTTGAACAGGTCGGTGAGCTCCTGCATCTTGTAGTCCCTCCTGCAAGTCAGCAGGAAGTCATCTACATACACGATGCAGACGGCCTGAAGCTGGCCGTTTTGCCTCTTTTAGAAGAGCATCTTGTCGAGGTGGTGCTGTGTGTAGTGGATGCTCTCCATGCGACGCACCACTTCTTTAAACCATGTGCGGAGCTGAAGCTAGCCCGTATATGTTCTTGAGCACTTTGTAGAGCTTGGCCTGAAAGGTGCCTGCCATGTTGGTGATCTCGTCACGAGGTGGCAGTAGGTAGAGTGGCTCTGGGCGTTCGTGGTCTTCGAAGGTGCCTTGCATGAACGCCGTGCTCACGTCGGCTGCCCATAGGAGCCATGGTGCATCTTGCTGCTCCACTGAGTGGTTTGCTCCTGCGATGAAGATCGAGAGCAGGATGTGTTCAGACACGCGCATGGGTGTCGGTGAGTCCCTTGAGATCCGGTGGAGGTCTGGATCAAGGTGTCCGAGTGCTACGACCCTTGTCTTGGCAATCAAGGTGTCGGGGGTCCTGCTTTTGTTGCGGTAGCAGGCCCTGCTTCGGAGCACTCGCTTCCGGCGTGCCGGGTTGCTGAGGATGGCTGCCGCTTCATCATCAGGCACTGGCTCGACAGAGCCCCATCCCATCCATCCTTTCTCCTCCTTTTGTGCGGAGGCCACATAGGCTTGGATTTGCTCTGGTGGAAGGCGCATGATCTGCCTCCATGGTATCTCTCGTTCGAGAGCTTTGGCTTCTTTGCGAGCATTCAGCCGTGAGGCTGGGTCGATGGGTTGGTCTGGATCTGAAGAGTCTGCCTCTGACTCTCCCTGACCGGTGAGGTCGGTGTAGAGGACTGCATATCCTTCCTGTTGGAGGATCTCTGTTGTTGCTGGTGCTGCGAACTGTGTGCAGCGATGCTGATTGTAATATTGTGTCTCTGGTGAGCCGTCCCAAGCGTAGTGAGGTGGCTCCAAGAGATCATGTACGCATGCCAGCATTGCTTCGTGTGTCCTCTTTTGTGGTAGCTGTGGCAGTGGTGTATCATCTTGTACTGTTCCACTGTCTGCTGCGGTGCTGTGTCTCATGTCCCTGTGTGCTTGCCGCGGGACTTGAGTAGATTGTAGTAGCGGAAGCCGATTCTGCTCCGGCTTGCGCGCCGGCTTGTTGTTCCTGTTGCGCTGAGGCTGCAGCTTGCGGTTTGTCTGCTGCTGCCGATGTTGTGTCGCGTTGAACCCTGGAGACTGGTGGTGTCTCGGGCACTGTTCCTTGCCATGCGGTTGCCCTTGGGGTTCCCGGTGTACGGGCGCCGTCCCCATGTCGCCTGTAGAGGCGTCTGTTGGTGGGTGTTCTGGAACGTGCTGATCTTGTGAGTCCAAAACGATCACTGTGGTAGTCGTAGGGTGTGATTGCTGGTTGTGCTGCTGTCGGTGTGTTCGGGTAGGAGTGAATGTGGATGTCTCCTAACCGGACGTTTGTTGTCTGTTGTTGCTGTTGGATTGTCTGTTCTGCGTGTTGTTGTAAGTGTTGTGTAACTTGCTGTGGATCTGGAGATGTCTGAGTGTCGCGTCCGACACTTGCTGATGGAGGTGGTGCGAGAGGTAACGCCAGTTGTGCTTCAGGTTCTGCGGTTGCTTCTGCAGCTGCGGCTGTTGGTTCATCCAAGTTGTCCAGCGCATAGTCATAGTGGTCCTCGTCCAGAGGTGGTGCTGCAGTGCTATGCTCTTCCCACATGTCCTGCCGGATGTTTGCCGCTGCTTTCTTGAGAATCTGTTGATCTTCTCTTGTGGGTTGCCATTGCTCGAAGCCAACTGCTCCTCGAAGCTGCTCCAGCGCCACGTGGACTGTAGTTGTTCCTGAGTGGACCCAGGCAGGTTTGCCGTCGGGGTCATAGGACAAGAAACGAGCCACGATCCAGGCTCCCTTCTTTTTGGTGGATCGTCCTTTAGGCACGTGCCATCTCCAGTATGCACAGTTCTGGCCGGGCTGGAGGTCCGTGAGGTTGGAAGTTGCAGTCTTCCTCAAAAGGGCTCTCCGCAAAGCCTGGCTGGTGTTGATGTCTGCTAAAGCCTTGATGGCTTCTGCCCGGAGGATGTCTGGCCTGACAGCTCCTTGCTTGTCTGGGTGGCAGACCAACGCTGTGCCATCTTGGAGGAGTCCTCCGCCAATGCGGGGAATCTGGCCAAAAACTGCCATGTATGGTGGTCGGCCGTGGGAGTAGGTCATGCTGTTCAGTGCAAAAACAGCTGCCTCGATGGCTTGGTCGAAGTCCTCGTCCACGAAGATGGACTCGGCATCGATGATTCTCTCCAAGATGTCTCTCAGCACGCTGTTCCGGCGCTCGATGAGTCCGATGCGCCAGTGGGCCTCGGCCGGGATCACTTCCAGCCATACGCCGCGCCGTTCGACGTAGTGCTTGAAGTGAAGGCCGAAGTTGGTGCCAGGATCTGTCCGGATGGTTGCAGGAAAACCGTAGGGCTTGAACCACAGGTTCCGGAAGATCTCGAGGGTGTGGTTGGAGGACATGTCTTTCAGGCGGCACGCCTGATGCAGTAGTGTTGATTGGTCAATGATGCCCAAAATGGCATGATTTGCTCCGGCCACATCCCTGCAGTAGAAGACGTCTGTCTGGATGGTGTCGCTGAACTCGCCCATATTGGCTACTGGAATTGCCGAAGGCCTTGGTGGCTTTGGTGGCTTGGTCCTTGCGCAGCTAGCGCAATGGAGGTGCTTCACTGCGGTGAGCATGTGTTTGGAAATTGCCCCTTGGTAGGCCAGCAACCTGAGGAGTTCTTTCTCGGTTGGGTGGCCAAGGTTCAGGTGGAGTCGTTTGACCGCTGACTTCACCTCTTGTGGGACATCGTTTGGGCAGCTCTTGAAGGTCACCATTTCCAGCTTCGATGTCGGTGGTGATGGTGTGACTGCTTGCGAGTCAGGTGATGGCTCCTTGCCATCTGGTTGTGGAGGCTGTTCTTCTGGTGGTGGCGTTTGCTTTGGGTCGCCATAGCCATACCAGAAAATTGCCACTGAAACTGCTTTGCTGAAGCGCTGCTTGGGGACGTGCATACCGTCGAGCGATTCAGCCTCGATGGAAATCTGGCCATCCTGATACTCCAGTACGGCTCCACGGTGCCTGAAAGGAATGTCACGTGGTAGCCGTCGTTGTGCTGGAGTGCGAGAGAGCTGAACTCGCACCAATTCCCATGGGATCAGGTTGGCGATGTCGGTGTGCAAAGGGTCGGTGTCCGGCGGGTTGATGCTGCGGACTGAGGTCATCTCAAAGATCTTGCGGACCTTGCTGAGAACTTCACCCCATGCTGCAGGGTCTTGCATGGGTTCTTCATAGAAGACTTCGTTGACCTTGAGGAATCTCTGGGGCCAGCGGCGCCTTGCTTCAATCTTCAAGCTCCTGAGGATAGCTCGGCAGAGCTTCTCAGGGTATCTGGCGCTTCTTCTCACCTCCTTGCCGATGAGGGGAACGCAGTTGCCCAGTTCTTCGGGCGTCATCTTTCGTGAGAGGGCTGTTGCAAGCTCTGAGGAGTTGGTGAGCCATTGGTAGAGCTTTCGAATGGGTTCACCTCTGCTGTTGCAGCCGCCATATGCACCCGAGTGGCATTGGACCAGGTAGACGTCGTCTCTGGTGGCCACCTCTTGTGGTTCAGGAAGTTCCCAAATCCTGGATGGAGCCGGGTTCTCAAAGAGGAAGAGATTGTTCTGCATGATCTGGTTGTAGCAGGCTCGAACACCTTCTCTGACCAGTGGAAGCTGTGCTTCTCTCCTCTTGTAGAGCTCCTCCATGCGATCTTTTCCTCTGTAGTTGAGGTTCTCGTTGAAGATGATCCATTCAGTGCACTCGGTCTCCACGATGACTAGGAGAGGTCGGTGCTTCTCTTGCGCTTCCCTCCAGGATTGCCGATCCTTCCTGGAGTTCATATCCTTGCCATAGAGCAGGTCGAAGGGCTCCAAGGCCTTGAGGTCATACTGATGGGCGAGGAAGCTGATGTCGGCGTGACCAGCGTAGAGCTCCATGATGTCAATCTTTGACACATCCTTGGCTGCAGGCAAATGGGCGTAGATTCCCTGCTCGATGGAGAGAACCTCTGCGGACTTGTTGACGTTGCCCACTAGCCGTCGATGTTGTCCCAGTCGTAGTCGTCCTCGCTGATCTCCTGGACGGGGTCCTGCATTGGGTCGATGAGGGTGTCCCATGCTGGATTCCATCCCGGAGGCAGTCGTGGATCGTCTGCCCCAAGTTCCTGCTCCTCCCATCGGGCCAAGTCCCGTTCGAGCATCTCCTCCAGGTCGAGGTCCGGATCTGGAGGTGCCGGCAAGGGCATGTTCTCGAAGCCGGGCCATGTCTCCTCTGATGCTCCTGGACTGTCTCCCAGACCGTTTGGTCTTTCTGCTTGTTGGTGGCCTTGCGCTTCGGCAGCGGTCCGGAGGTTCTCATAGAAGTCCGCCCCGAAGATGCCGGCGCTGTCTTCGAACCGGTAGTCGGAGGAAGTGGGAGCTGATCGTGCGGGTAGCCTGGCGCTTCGAGGCTGGTGCCCATGAGTGATCCAAGACAGTTGCTGAGGAAGGCAGTGGCAATGGTGAGGAACTGGATGCTGCGGTGAAGTGTTCCCACCCGTCCAACTCCTTGTTCCAGCGCCACTTGATCTTGCAATCCAGGCACTGGGCGTAGCTGCCATGCCGATTCCCTGAGCGCTTGATGTGGTTGTGGCTGCTTGCTAAACACGGTATGAGGGCTTCCAGGATGCATGGCGCCAAGATGCAGATGTAGTCACCAAAAACGACCGGAAAGCAAAACGTGGTGGTGGAGTGAATAGGTGGCCCTTTCCCAAACTCAAAATACTCTGACGACGAAAACTCTGCGGGGGCGATGTTCCATGAAGACATCAAAGATCTTTGGGCCTCACTCCAATACCTCCCAGCGCAAAGCCGCTGGCAGGCCGTGTCAATGATGACGTGGCCAACTGCTTTTGCGGCATCCATCAGGCAAACTTGGTGTTGGGGTAAATGATGTGAGACAAAAACCGCATGGGAAACGTGCTGGCTCTCACATCCATCATCGTGCTCGTCGATGGAGCCGCCATAGTGGTTCATGAAATGAACTGTCCTGGTGCTCTTGCCCTTGTCGCCCTTTCCGGCGCCCTTTGAAGCATCTTTGCCTTGCTTGCCGCCTTTGTTGCTAACAGTGCACTCAGCGTCACCGGCCCAATGGCCTTGTTGGCCGCAAGCTGAGCAATGGGTGTTCTTCTTCCGGTCTGAGATGCTCCTCTTCGGCGGTCCGGAAGTGGGATTGCCGTACTTTCTTGCTTGCATCACTCCGGCCAACTTCCTGGCCGTGATGCTGAGGATCTCCTGCACCTCGTGGTCGTCCCAGGTGCTGTCGTCAGGTTGTTCATCTTCTGCAGCTTCAAGGTCGTCAGACCCGGCTGCATCTTCCTCTCCGTCATTCTCCTCAGGGACGTCCTCGGTGTCAGGGGGGAAGTCCATGTTCTGGTAATCGCTCCACAGTCTCTGCTGCGAAGACTTGCTTGCCGCTAGGCTTGCCTTTCCCTTTGGGCTGAAAGCCAGTGTGGCTGCGAAGTCCTTTTCCTCCACGATCAGCTGGTGCGCCAAGAGCTGGTGGAAGACCTTTGTGATCTGGCCATTGGAAAAGCAGCACATCTTTCACCTGGTCGAACTCTAACGATTGTCCGGCGCTGATCAGGATTTGTCGCTGGTGTTCAGGCGACAACTTTGCCCGTTCCAACAACCGGGCCCCTCTCGCTTCACTGTCGTACATGTCTTGGACACGGATGTTGATGGTGGCGAGGGAGCGTTCTGTCCTCTGGTAGCGGTTGGTGAAAGATCTCATCGATTCGGTTGGACTCCGGTAGATGTAGCTTGAGAGCAGCTGTCTCTTGAGGTGCACGGTCCTGGTTTCAACCGCCTTCTGGATGGTGTCCACGATGAAGGTCACTCCATCGGGATCGTAGATACGATCCACTGCAGCATCCTCCAGCTCCTCCTCCAACTCCCCTTTAAGGGAGTTGTAGAGAAGGATTCCTGCCTCCATCTTCGGGGCGCCAGGAGGGACCACATTTCAACCCGCTTCTTCCATTTGCGGAACGCCGCCAGGTCGCCCTCGTCATAGTGCCAGGGCGGTGGTTGTGGAGGTTGGCCTCCGCGGTACTTGATGCCGTGCATCGGCCCTTTCATGCTATTCCATGAAGTCGAGGATGAAGGGCCAGGTGAATCACCAGGTGGATCCGAAGGTGGACCAGATCCGCCAGGCCTCGAGGGCTTGCCGCCCGCAGCTGACCTGTTCGAAGATGCTGGAGGCTCAGGCAGTTGAGGAGGTCCAGAATCGGGCGGTAGGTCAGGATCAGGTGGATCAGGATCTCCAGGAGGTCCTCCATCTGGTCGCCTCCTTCTTCTCCGGCGTCTTGATGAAGTGGTTGAAGCCGGTGATGTTGTCACCTCGGGATTGCCATTCGTTCCAAGTATATCACTGGGTGCGATGCTTGGATCATAGGTCGGAGCCTCGCTCTCGGCAGTGTCCTTTCCATAGGCCCCGGATGGGCCTTCGCCAGGTGGATCATGAGCAGGTCCTTGACCTTGAGAAGGTTGCCATCGGAAGCGGTTATGAAGTAGTGACGGATCCATGCCAAGCGGTATATGAGGTTGTCCTGAATCGGGGTGGTGGAATACTCGACAAGGTCCAAGCTCGGCATGACCAGGCTGCGCCGCCATGAAGCTCGGAGCAAACCACCTCGGAAGTCCAGTTGAAGGGCCTGCATGGTGCATTGGTCAGGATGAAGGCCTCGTGGAACAAAGAACCATGTGCCGTCCATGCCTGCGCCGCCGAAGGGCTGCGGGGAGAAGGTCGTCGACCCGCAAGGAACGCAGCTCCACGTCCTGAGCTTCTCACTCCACTCGGCATCAGCCGAGCCGCAGCGGTCGCAGACCCAAAACTCGTCATCGGCCAGGTCGAAGTCCTCTGAGCCGGAAGGTCGTGAGTCGGTCCTGCAGCTGCTAGGCCTCGAGGGCGGAGAAGCGTCCAAGGAGGGTCGCCACGGGGCGTCATGGGAGCCGCCGCAGGCCGCTGCAGAGGCAGCAGTGGGCAGCCGCGTCGACATGGCGCCAGGGAGGGACAGCAAACGAAGCTCGACAGCTCCGCTGCCAACTAGGCGAACCACGTGCGTGTCATGTGGCGCCTCTTTTCGCTGCTAAAAGGTTCGGGCCAAGGTGCACCTTTCGTGCAAGTTCATGGTAAAAGGCGATCGGACCATCACGAACGGGCTTCATGCTCATTCACATACAGTATATAATGTCAATCATGGCTTGGGTATATCTCATGACCAGGGCCCAGTGGATGATGATGCTTAGCGGCCGTTCTAAAGTTCTAAAAAAACAGTGATAATCGGTGATAAGTGATATATGGTGGTTGATCAATATTCTTTCATCCTGGAATGGCCATTTATCGCGGAAAAAAAAGATATCTTTCGCGGATCTTTCGCGGCCTCATCGCGAAGCATGGTCCTACAACCATGTCTAGCTAACATGAGCCGGAACATGTCATAGTATCACAAAATAGGGAGAGACATCTTGCAGCATGACCCCAGTAGATGGTTGAATGTTTCCACAGCTACTCAGTACTCAGGGTCACTTGCAGCATCTGTGCGGCAATTGTGCCAAATAGAGTCAGGCACAACTCAACCCAATCCTCGTGCCAGCTACCAACACAGGGTGATGCAACTTGGGGAATGTTGGGGGGCCTCAAGCTGGGAACCTAGACTTTAGCGGCACATTCGCGAAACTTTCGCGGATCTTTCGTAAAATTTCACGGGTGCTTTCCCCGGGAAGCCGTAACATTTGCAAACATCTGCGCTGCCCGTCAGAGAAGCTGCAGGTCGTTGCCTCACTATCAGGGCTGTGCCTACCCAGATTACTAGTCTGTGACAGTGGGGACAGGAATCGGAGAATCCTTTACGGACTGCCAGGGCTGGGCACGGAAATGTTGAGGCTTCAGTTAGTTAGTCTGTGACACATGGCGACACTTCCGCCCACTGGCTCTTGCGTTTCTATTCTTTGTCAGTCCGGTAGAAAGGAAAACAATGAAAGCGATGACCTTCGATAAATCTTTCGCAGAAAAAAAAGATACTTTCGCGAACCTCATCGCGAATCTTTCGCGGATGGTTCTAACAAGATCTGAAAGGCTGTTTTATATAAAACTCCTTACACGGGTTTTTTCGATCAACTCCCATATAATCCTTTACCAACTGTTAATCACTGGTAATGGGACACACCTCACCTATAGCATTGAGGTCGGAACTTAAGAGAATGTGCTCCAGCTGGCTCTTCTTCCTGGCGTTACATGGTCTTTCATGGGACCTTCCAGGTTGCTCTTCTTGCCTGCGTTATACTGGTTGTATCTGGTTGTTCGTTTCTCTTGTCTAGCGGGCCGAAGTCAAAAGTTGCAACTCTCAAACGACTGGCCCAAGCAACTGGTAGATTTGCTCAATGGTCTTGCTCTTTCGAAGACCTCATGCAAGCACTGCTCGATCTCATTCTAACTCCATTGACTACACTACCTCCTACTTGCTAGCCTCTTTGATGGAGCGCCTCTTTGATGGAGCAATACTTATAAATCCAGGATGTGACTCACATGACTTGCATCCACTGAGATCAAAGCTCATCTCGCTTACCTTAGGTGTTGTGAAGACATAGGCGGTGTCGTAGACTAGCGTACACTTGCACGCAGCTCACAACAAGCCTTTGCGACAAACGACAATTAAGCTAGCACAACCTTGAAAAATAAGACAAACAAACTAGATCAAACTAGTATAGCGTAATCTTTAGATCATCAAGCTTAACATCAAGCTGCGCGGTCCCGGCAACAAGCTCCGGCGTGGTCCAAGCCGCAAGACAAAGGTAAGTCAAAGCCCGGCCAGGTTTGTCTCTATATTATTGATCTCTAATGCTGCTATTTGGCACCCCTTTCTGGAGGACAAATGCTAGAGGGTTCAAGGAGGTGGTCTTGTTTAACTGTGCTTGGTGCAAGGCCAAACAGCGCTGATTTCAAGTTGTGTTGTCAAAGGAGCATCTCCTAATTCATTTCGGTATCTATCTGACAGATTGCTTGCATCTCCACCACGCGTCGTTGTCTGCTTCATTGTCAGGTGATGCATCGATACGGAAAGAGTTCCATCTGAGCAACCATGAGTGCTCTGACCTACAGCTGGAGCCGAAATCAATTGTTCTGAAACCTAGTTTCTGGAACGTCTGGAACAAGTAGCTACTAGGGTGGAGGCCATCGCTACTAGGGTGGAGGGCTCAAGGATCCGATTAAGGTCGGGCTTACCGGACCCCACCCGCTCAGAGACGTGTGCGCACTCTGAGACATAAAGTGCACCTTCCAGAATGCCAAGCAAGCCTTAGGAAGAACAAGACTTAGAGGTGCAGTACCAGTGCTCCTCACTAAGCAAGAACAACTACGCGGCAAGCATACCAAACACAGTTGACCTGCATGCTTCACACTCTATGAAGGAACATGTTAAACATATATGATAGGCTATTTCCAGATTGTTCACAACAAGTATCCGTCTGTTCAGACCACAAACATCAACTTTTGTATTGACAGTTATTTGTGCTCTCATTGACTCATTGAGGTGTTTGTGCATTGAGAAACACACACCAAGCAAATGTCCCTGAGGAGTCCCACTGCGTTCTTCTGCTGTGAGGCGTAAAGGAATGAATTTCACCTGCCAAATAAACACTGCCAAAGAGAGGTCTCCCTGGGGATGTTCTTGCACCATTGTCCCATGCTTTAGCTCAACGTGATTAAGTCAGATCCCTTTGTCTTTGTCAAGAAGGGCAACAACAGGATTCAAGACACAACTTTTCTCCTTGGTCCAAGTGTAAATACCAAAAGGTCGTTACACAACAGCGGAGAGCGAACAATGAATAGGTCCTCACCAAAAATAAGTTCGTTGTTTGCGGAAATTTTGTCCCGACTGGTGGTGAAGAGCACTGGCAATCAGTGAGTTTGACGACCGTCCACAAGTGCTCAGGGAAGCGGCTCACTCGAGACATGCGGCCACACATGGCCATTGTAAAATCTCACAGTTAACCAACACCAAGTGAAAAGTCTGAAGACAAAAAACGCTGAGCCTCACAAGCTCACAAGTGGACGTTTGGTGAATAGGGGCAATCAGTAAAGTGCCCTATATGATTTCCTAGAAGACACGCGCGTGCATTGAGATATGCACCATCAGACGCCGAATTCGGGTATCCGAGAAGACACTTGATGTAATGGTGCTTGGCAAAGTCCCTGGCCGTGATGGGTTCGCAATCTGTCAGGCTTCTCCACTTGGCTTTTCCTTTGATGTCAGGAAGCATGTGCGCAGCAGTGAGGCTTGCGCTGCACATCACCTTCGCCAAAAGGACCATGTTGTCGTCCAACCAATCAGCCAGCACCAACTCTTCCTGGATACGGAAGGAAACATGTCTTCAGAAAAGGAAAACAAGACCAGCATCTGGTTAGCACGAGTGTGTGTGTGTTTGCTACGTTTTGACAGCAGGGGCACACGGCATCCATGACCCACCGTGTGCAACGAAGCTAGGGTCATGGATGGGAAGGGAAGGCTGATCACCTTCCTGTACCTGCAGCTTGTGAATGTGTTAGCCATTCTCCAATCGTAGAGGCTTCAGGCTGCAGGATGATACAGGTCTGCAGATGAGCACTCGTCGACTCTCGTTTCCTTTTTCGCGCTCGTTCGAGAACTTTGTGAACTTGGAGCTCTTTGGAACTTGTGAACTTGTGAACTTTGAGATCTTTGGGACTTATACCTTTTCCTCGAACTCTTAGGCGTTCATACCTAGGTGGGTGTGTGGCATGTGGCATTCAGTTCCGTACGCATTATCTCGTGTGTGTGTGTGTGCATGTGTGTGAGTGGCATGTGTGAACATTAAACCTCTTTCTAAAGTTGAAAGGAACACAACAATTTCCTTAAAAAAAAAAGCTAGGCTTCATTTTGGAAGTTGTACTTGGTCTGGATTTCCAAGCACTTCAAGCCTTGAAATTGCTATCCAGCCGCTGGCGTTCTTCATCAGCTCTGCATCCAGGCCCTGCCCTTGCAAAAAGCCCAAGGAGTATCCGTAGAGGTCATCATAGGAATAATGCGGTGCGTCCATGTAGCTTGTGATTACCTGGCCCTCAAAATTGAAAGTGATCAGCGGACCTTGATGAAACCGGGTAGCCACCCATCTTTCTTAGACCAAGTATGCCATACTTGGCATATTCGATAAAATCCTGATCTTTATCGGGTAACGGAGACACCCAAAAGCCAGTTTGATTGAAATAGCAATAGCCATCCATTCCTGGATGTTCGGCCATCACCTCTGGAACTGGCCGATAACAATCCTGCCCGTGAGTGTGCACTTTGCAGTTGTTGCTGCAGATGTTGTTGGCAGTTGGATCGCATGTTTCGTTGATCAACCGCCCGCACTTCGTCAAATGTCCTCCTGTTCCTCGTGCAAACTTTCTCTGTTTTTCGACCTGGAGCAGAAAGTTTGTGCGAGACACAGGTTCAATGCAGTCATCATGCCAAGGGGCCGTCGCCATAGCAGACATAGCAACCCCAACACTAAATGCAATGGGAAGCATGGCCATGAGTCTTCGGCCTGCACCCTGCTCAACGGGATCCTGTGAGCCATTGGGCATAAGCGTAAGCTATCAGCATGCCAACAGCCGAATCATGATAATTTTGCTAACGCTAGCCGCTACTGTACCAGGTTCATCATCAAGCCATTATTATCTATAACGCTCAATCAACCCTCCGCGAATCTGGCCCCGACGACACCGAATTGTCATTTGTTTACATGCAAAACCGAGCAAACCTAAGGACCGGTAACTTGGGAGTTATATAGTTGTGTGGGCCAACGACATAGTCGACATAGTAGTTGTGGTCCACTACTCCTAAGTCATTGGGAACACAAGAAAAGGTATATATTGAAGAATTGCTGATTCAAGACTCATGACTTGGGAGTTGTAGCCAGCTGATGATCAAGCGATTTTGTACATAGGTGCAGGAGGGGATTGATATATATATATATACACAAGTTTTTGTTTAAAAAATGAACAATTGTTTTTAGTTCTTGCTTCCCTGTTGAAACTAGTCACATGACACAAGAAGTTTGTCATGTGTTTATTATGTTATGTCCTTTTCCTATCTCGTCTTGCTTCATCATGCCTCCAGGCACTTACAACTCCTATCTCATGTCTTTTGTTTATCTTTAAAGCGGCTTTCAGGTTTTCTTGAGAGCCATTCGAGATTGATCATGTTTTGATGTTTCTCTACAATAAAGCCCATGACATAGTACAGTTGTGCACATCGGGTGGTGACAACACGGTCGGACTTCGTGAGAATACATGTTACAACCTTGCCCTTGCCCCCGACCCCATAGGTTCCACAAGGTCTGAAGTTCACAGGCCCTGGTGACTGCAACTGTGAGCAACCTTCCCCAGTGCCACGTCCGTTCATCCCAATCAAGAGAAAGACGCAGCATTTCCTGGTCCTGAGTCCACCTTCAAAACCTCTGGCGGCTACGGCGAAATTCAACCATGCATGCGCTGCATGCCTGATTCTGCACGTCCCGAGCGTCCATCAAAGGCTCTACCTCCTGGCACGGACGCTGCTTGGGCGACCAGTGTGAGTTTGCGTGCCAGGACTCCAGCAATCATTCTGAAAATGAAAACAACCATGTCCAAACAGCTCTGTGCAGTCCCAGATCGCTACACAGCCTCTCTCTAGCCATCAACGCTTGGAACATTTCAACCCCCCAACCTCGGGTTTCGGGAGTCACTGCATTTCATTCACAGCTGGATCTGCAACAATGTTCAGATTCCGCCTCCTTCTTGCTTGTGGCCACAGGAGCGTCAGCAGCTTTCATTTCATGCGACTCCTTCCAAACCTTCTCCTAGCGCAGGCATAGAACCAACGTCTGTAAGCAAGGAGAAAGGATCAAGGATTATGAGAAAGAAGGCCCCGAAAAGGTCAATCGACTACGACGTTGCGACTACGTAGTTGAGCTTCCGGTGATGTTGACACCACTTGAGAAGCGGGAACGAAAGCGAGAGAAGAGATTGCTCATTCAGCCACTGCACCATCCGGAAGAGAATTACTATCGGAGGCGATGGAGTGCTCTCTGATGCTGTCACCAACTTGTGTGGAAACGCTCAAACCCTAATCTGATCTAATCTGGAACAACATGTGTGTCGCAAATTCCAACCACTCGAATGATGCTTGCGATGCGTGTGCCCAAAGGTGGGGATGCTATTCTATTATGCAAAGTGGGTGGGGTGGGGTATTCGGTCCTTTGGAACTATCACGAGCAAGGACGCTACTAGTAGCTCCTGGCATCGCTACTAGGAGCAAGAAACTACTAGGGGCTCCTTGTATATAAATAGAAATCAAGCAGACCGACAATACGGAGCTCGCGAGTATGGTGCTAGGCTGAGTTTGGGCGAATTAAAGGCAGGCAGGAATACCCGAATACCCTTTATTGCAAATTAGACAACTATATTAGACTGGTTAATAGACTCAGGTAGTTTGAAATCCCCCGTCTCCATGTGGTGAGTGAATGTGTAGTCAACCTGGAGACACGTTCAGGACGTTGTAATTCACACTGCCTCAGTTTTTGGTATGTGGCCGTTGTCCATCTTTGTTCCAACAAATTGTGATGTAACAAACAAAACGCCCAAGCAAAAGCGTCCACGACCTGACACATTCAACAATGAAACTGTCCCCTCTCTCTCTCTCTCTATAACACAGCTGCACCCATGAGACCTGTCCTGATTCTGCACCCAGTCTTGGTGCGCCCGATCTTCCTGAAAAACAACATAGGACAAAGCCGGTCAAAGAAGCTGCAAATCCAAAGCACAGTCCTCTAGGACGGCTTTCATCTGCTCGAGGGCCTCTGCATCAGCTCGACACAATGCGTATGCAAACGGCATCCACACCAAAAGGAAGCCAGAGCTAGTTGCAGAAGACTGTAGAACCTCTTGGAGGTTGTTTCAATAACCATTGCATTCGGGGAAAGCCTGATCTTTTTGCACTCATCATGACATAGCAGCATGGAAACATGTACACTACCGAAGACCCTCTTTTGGCTGAAAAGTACCTGTGCACTTCGCATACAGGTTATGAACCCAACGATTTTTTCGAAGACCACCTGACATGACATTGGTCAGTTGTTGGCTCGCATGGAGACGAATCCTTTCTGGAGCGAAAGCCTTCGACGGTGGAGCTGATGAACGCGCGGCAGTCGACGCTTCCACCGCAGTCAGACCTGCCTGTGGTACCTGATGACTCTGAGAAGACAAGTCCAATGAGCTCCGAAGAATGCAGGAGGATCAACAGAACGTGGACCTGTTTGAGATGCCCTTTGAAGAAGAGGATGAACTGGATGCAGCGGGGGCAATCAGTGCTGGTGAAGGACCTCGATTACAAGAGGCGGCAGCTGGTGGTGCAATCAGTGCCAGTGGTGGACAATATGGAAAAGCTGGCCAGAAGGCGGTAGATCAGCCTCAACGGCCATCCATCGAGCACAGGATCCAAATAGAGTCGGGGTGGCCGACTGGACAGGGGGCTCATGAGTCACGACTGGACGATGAACGGGATGGAGTTCCGATGCCACCACAAAGCGAAAAGTGAAAGAGGTGAAGAAGGCACAGAGGCACTTGGCTGATCGGGTCACACGGTCTGAACAACGTGATGAAGAAGATCTTCAACGTGCACTTGAACGCCAGATGATGGAAGACCTTCAGAGCTCAAGAAGGCAAGACGAGGCTCCGAGACAAAGGCCACCGATCTGAGGGAAGAGCCACGGTGGCCGATGACGGAGATGTTCACCAACGCCCCAGAGGGCTTGAGGTTGGCGCTTGAAGCACTGTCAGAGTCCAATATGGACTGGGATGCTCCACCTGGCAGTGAACCCATTTATTGGGTGCAGGTAGGCAGCAGGCTCTTTCATCAGAACGACCTGATGAGGAGGGCAATGGAATTGGAAAGATGGCCTGAGAAGGAGATCCCCCATTTGTCATTGACACTGACGGTGGGAACAACACCAGCTGGTGGTGCTGCACCACCAGGTGTGCCTTGCTATGTGGCCACCCCGGCGCCTGCTGGCGAATCAAGTGGAAGTGGAACATTGCCATCTACAATGCCCACATCGACGACCAACTAGTCGACTCCAGAGTCCACTCTTGCGCAGCACGGCAGCCAGCAAAGTGACCAGTCTGTGTTGCCGCCGAATCCCAAGACTGGATATGCACGAGGAGGCTCTGGCGAAAGGGGCAGGATTGTGCGGGAACTATGGGCCACCAAGGTCTTCCTGGTGCACCAGTGGAGCATGGAGATCCACCGCCTTTGAATGCAGAGGCACCGACATTGCAAACTCCGTGTCCCACTTTTGACATGGCAGCGGATGATCGAAGCTCACTCAATGACCGGGATGTCATTGGCTTGAGGCATGTTAGGCGAACGGCATCAGAGTCTGGCACATCGTATGATGAGCATGATGGCTATGACCTCTGAGCCGCATCAGGGTTTTGAGCCTGTGCCACAATGGCACATCAGTTTTTGTGATAGTTGAGACTCATGTGAAGGGAAGAAGTGGCCTTGTGCCGAGTACGCCCCACATGGTTTGAACGATGTCTGATCTTTTTGCACTCTACCGAAGGCTTGACTCATCAAAAGATTAAGCTCGCACTCACAAGTTGGTTGACCCGCGGTCGACATGTCGGTGCAAAGAATCCTTTACAGAGTTGCTTGTGAGCTAAGACAAAGGAGGACCGCGTGGGTGAGCCTATGAGCTTATTAGCTAGTACCACTCGTCTCTCATGTGGGTTAAGCCCAATCGTGTGAACAAGCACCTGTGCAGCATGAAGAGGGGCCGTCCCCACAGGCAGGCCTGTCCATTGCTTACAGAAAGCAGGGACTTGAGAGAAGCCTTCATCTCCTCAATGGATGCTGCCTGGACAAAGCACAGAACTTCATCTTGTGCTGCCAGCTGCACCGTTCGCACTCTTTTTCTCAGATCGTCGCTAACAGCTTTCGCTCAAGACATGTCCGGTTTGACGACGCTCTCGGTCGAAGCAAACGGACCCGGTGGACCGTTCCACGGTCGCAGAAGTCACCGGTCGCTGCTTCGGATCTGGAGACTTCACTTCATGCGATCGGCACGGGCGATGCGCGCCTGTAGCCAGTCGGAAAAGGTACTAGGCTTACTGGAGATCATCTCTTCCTCCATATCCTGGGAAAGCAAGAGGCCCATAAAACCCTAGGTCCTAGGCTATGAGCACTGCCTGGGTGCCCTGATTCAAAACAATCTGAATCTGAATATTGAATGTGTGTGAATCCGCACCGGCAACTCATTGTTCTGCTACAGTTATTTTTGCTGCCGGACGTAATCAAACAGAAAACCGCAAAATCTTTTAAAAGCCCATGAACCGAGGACCACAAGGCTGCTCAAGATACGTAGGTTCTACAATCAAAGGTCTTTTTCCTGAGCCCCATCCAGTGGTTCCAATCTCTGTCTGTTCAATGAGATTCTATGCATATATTATATAATTCTTAAACGGCGTGCACTGAAGTGCAAATCTTGCCAAAGTAAGCGCCGACTCCTGCACATCTGCCTTGCTGAGGTCAGCATCCTGGAAAGGAGGAAACAGCGTCAAATCCAGGAAGCGGGCTGTCCGTATCTATCCGTCGGACTGCGAAGACTACAAAACCGGACCACCACCTCATCGTGCGGGGCTGTGGGCTGTTGGTTCAATCCAGAGACAACTTCCCTGGTCTACAGCGTTCCATGATCCGCTCCAGCATATCAGAAAGCCGCTGCTTCGTTGTGACCGCCATCTTGCTTGAGAGGCCGTTGGGCCGCGGGAAGTCAGCGTTCTATGCAGTGATCTTCTGGCCCCCGGCTGTTCAATCAGCTGATCCTCTGGAGTTAATGAGAAACTGCTTGTCATTGGCTAGGCCTGAAAACCTACTGGATGTCCACTGGTGCCGTTCATGTTCCTTGCAGGAAACCTTTCTTGAAATTAAACGTCATGGAGGCAACTGTTGAAATGGTTGAATGATGTTGAATGCACGTTTGGTTTACGTGCTGCGGATTGTCGAGGCCTTATCTGGCATTCATGCAGTCCATGTCAAGCTGTATGCTCGGCTGCCATGTCACTTGAGCAAGATCCTACAAGTAGCTACAAAAGTGCAAGGGGGCAAATAGCCCGAAGCACATTATCGTACCAGCCTGAGTTGTCCACTCAAAGGTCTCAAAACAATACTCATTGAAATAAGGCACTGTCCAAAGTTCAAAGATTGGAACCTTAACCTTTCAACTGTCACCCCTGTGATGATTGCCTTTCAGATTCTCACCCTGATTCCACCTTGTCACCCACAGGGCCTTGTTCACAACCTTCCAAACCACCGGGCCGACGGTCGACCGCATGTCGACGCGTGGGTCATGCGGTCCATCCCGCAAACAGGGAGAAGCAATGAACATGGAATCTCTATCATTTCATGATCGCAAACAAGGAGAATTCTCGTGAATTCTGTGATTATTTCTCATTGAATGAAGGAGCGCCAACCAGCAGTTACATTCATTCCTTCCGGCAAAAGGAGCTCAATGTCTTTGAGAACCGGCTCGCCCTCTTGACACTCACAAAAGCCCCCTGCATTGTGTTTGCAAGCCTTAACAAGAAAACAGCTCGGTGCCCGAAGTTTTCGTGGAGGCTCGTTGGTCGGGGTCGTTTCATATCTACTAACCACTGACCATTGAGAACACGCAGAGTGGGTGTACGTTTGGAGAGCGAAGAAGCCGAGAGTAGGAATACAAAAAAGATGTGGTAAAAAAAAAAAAAAAAAAAAAACATTGTGGTTTTGAGGTGGTCGCAGAAATTCGCAATGTGAAAAGTGCCAGGGCTCACACTATGAAATCAATCTCTTTGTCTGCGGCAGTTCTCGGTTGTTTCAGTTGGTGGATCCAAGAAGAAGTGAGCTGACTGTCTCAGTGCTCATCCCAACTTTTTGCACCAATGCTCAGCTTCGCACGCCTGGCGTGCTATTTTGAGGGCTCGACTGCTCAACTTGCTCAACTCATTCTGAGAGGCTCTGTACACTTGGTTTCAGCCGCCTCAGCAATAAGTGCTCGTGCATTGAATGCTTGGATTTGGCCAATGTGGCCAGTCTTGCTTGATTCGGTCGAGGAGTTTGTCCTCAAAGACCACAGTTGGCACCTATCTGTCTGAAGGATGTCCAATGATGTCCACTCTGACAATCAGTATACAGTTTACAGGTGCAGCCATTGCAGACATTCATGCAGCTGGCTCGCTTCCGACATGCTGCCCATCATGAGAGTTACATTGTACATTGAGTTGGTGGTTGCAGGTTGGCAAAGGAGGCCTGTCAACCTGACACCATGCCTCTTGCTTGCTTGGTTTCGCTGAGAAGCTGGGAGAGACGGTTCCCCAAACAAACCAAAATGAAAGCTCTGAAGAACAAAATGGTCACACAACTGGAATCTACCTCCCAGATTCTCGCAGTGAAACTGAAGGCTGCCAAGATTCAAAAACAAGATGCAACTGTCAACAATATGATCTCCAGGGCAAGAGTTGAAACAAAAACATTGGCAGCTGGCTGGAGGCGCTTGAGAACAACCTCTCAGACCCTCCTTGGCTCAGCGGAGGAGGCAACATCTGAAGAAGGCAACAAGGTGAGCTAATTCTGTCGGCTTGGTACAGGAGCTTCAGCTTTTGGCCTGTCATGAAAGACATTGGACTCCAAGCTATGGAGCTTTGGCAACCAAGATCTCAACCAAGGTTTAGCTTCGTTCAGACAGATAGAGAGAGAGAGAGTGAAAGTGATAGTGAGAGTGATAGGGAGACAGAGAGCGAGAGAGACAGAGAGCGAGAGAGACTGAGACTGAGACTCTCTTTCTCAGAAGTGACAGTCGCACCACACCCTCTGTTTACCTTTCGATCAGCCGCTTAGCCAAACTGTCGCATGACTTTCTGCTCACCCCCCACGTGGTCTTATTTTTCAACACAAGCTGGCAGTCAGAGATTTGCCTGTGTAGGCCACTGAAACATGGTCAGGAGGGGCATGCGAAGAGTCGGAAACTGGGCAGCTGCTTCCTGAGGTGAGGTGACTGACAGGGCGGGGGGATGCTATCAATTGCAAGAATCAAAGCTCTTGAAGGAGGATGTGAAAAAGAGCCACCTAAGTGGAACTGTCAAAAGGGTTCGCCTTGGCCACTCTCTTCGGAAGCAATGTGTCAATCAGACCCCAGGTGTCCCGGTCTCTCCTCTTTGCTGCAAAAAACCTCTGGTGCTTCTCGGTCCTCTGGGCTCAGGGTCATGAGGTACATAGGCCTGTGCCCTGCAAGGGTAGCGATCGCCTCCTGAGAAGGCCGCTACGTCGGCGGTCGAAACACGTCAATGCTCTTTGGTATAAAGCATTGACTGAAAGGTGGGAACAATTATGAACTAATTACTAGTTGACTAGTTCAACAATTATGCCACTTAGTGTCATGCTCTTTGCTATTCACTTTGCTGTTGGACATGGAGCTGCCACAAATTCTGTAGGATGATTCAGCAGGTCAACAGCCCCAACATGCACCGATCTGACACTACATGGACCCTCGAGTTGTCGCAAAGAAACTTGGATTGATTGAGGATACTTTATGTTGCAGAGAAGGCAAGGCATCAAAGAAGCTATCAGAACCTTACAGGAAATTGGATCGATGTTGTTCAGGCGTATACTGTAGGTTCCAAAATCAGAGTCAGCAACCCGAGCTGCTGACCACGCCCCTGCACAAAATGCAGTCGGGGCTGTGAAGCCTAAGCACATGCAGTTTCTTTGGAAGCTTACATGGAATAACGTTGCAGGTGAAAACCCTGGAATAAACAAGATGGAGCCCACGAACCCGAATGCAAACACGTTCCAAAAGCTACATATGTCCAAATGACACTCTTGTAGGACACTCTTGTGGGACACTCTTGTGGGTCACTCTTGTAGGAAAATCTTGTGGGACATTCTTACGGGACACTCTTGTGGGACACTCTTGTGGGACACTCTAGTAGGAAACTCTTGTGGGACACTCTTGTAGGACACTCTTGTGGGATACTCCTGTAGGACACTCTTGTGGGACACTCTTGTGGGGCACTCTTGTGGGACACTGTTGTAGGAAACTCTTGTGGGACACTCTTGTAGGACACACTCTTGTGGGACACTGTTGCGGGACACTCTTGCGGGACACTCTTAAGGGACACTCTTGTGAGACACTCTTGCGGGACACTCTTGTGGGACATGTGGGACACTCATTTGGGACACTCTTGTGGGACACTCTTGTGGGACACTTTTGCAGGACACTCTTGTGGGACACTCTAGTAGGAAACTCTTGTGGGACACTCTTGTTGGGACACTCTTGTGGGACACTCTTGTGGGACACTCTTGTGGGACAGTCTTGTAGGAAACTCTTGTGGGACACTCTTGTAGGACACTCTTGTGGGACACTCTTGTAGGGCACTCTTGTGGGACACTCTTGTGGGACACTCTTGTAGGAAACTCTTGTGGGACACTCTTGTGGGACACTCCTGTAGGACACTCTTGTGGGATACTCTTGTGGGACACTCTTGTGGGACACACTCTTGTGGGACACTGTCGCGGGACACTCTTGTGGGACACTCTTAAGGGACACTCTTGTGAGACACTCTTGTGGGACACTGTTGCGGCACACTCTTGTGGGACACTCCTGTGGGACACTCATTTGGGAAACTCTTGCGGGACACTCTTGTGGGACACTCTTGTGGGACACTCCTGTAGGACACTCTTGTGGGATACTCTTTTGGGACACTCTTGTGGGACACACTCTTGTGGGACACTGTCGCGGGACACTCTTGTGGGACACTCTTAAGGGACACTCTTGTGAGACACTCTTGTGGGACACTCCTGTGGGACACTCATTTGGGACACTCTTGCGGGACACTCTTGTGGGACACTCTTGTGGGACACAAGTAGGACACTCTTGTCGGAAACCCTTTGCGGGCTGCTCTTGTGGGACACTCTTGTGGGACACTCTTGTAGGACACTCTTGTGGGAGACTCTTGTAGGACACTCTTGTGGGACACTCTTGTGGGACACTCTTGTGGGACACTCTTGTAGGGCACTCTTGTGGGACACTCTTGTGGGACACTCTTGTGGGACACTCTTGTGGGACACTCTTGTGGGACACTCTTGTAGGAAACTCTTGTGGGACACTCTTGTAGGACACTCTTGTGGGACACTCTGGTAGGGCGCTGTTGTGGGACACTCTTGTGGGACACTCTTGTAGGAAACTCTTGTGGGACACTCTTGTGGGACACTCCTCTAGGACACTCTTGTGGGATACTCTTGTGGGAAACTCTTGTGGGACACACTCTTGTGGGACACTGTTGCGGGACACTCTTGTGGGACACTCTTAAGGGACACTGTTGCGGGACACTCTTGCGGGACACTCCTGTGGGACACTCATTTGGGACACTCTTGCGGGACACTCTTGTGGGACACTCTTGTGGGACACAAGTAGGACACTCTTGTCGGAAACCCTTTGCGGGCTGCTCTTGTGGGACACTCTTGTGGGACACTCTTGTAGGACACTCTTGTGGGACACTCTTGTAGGGCACTCTTGTGGGACACTCTCTCTTGTGGGACACTCTTAACTCTTGTGAGACACTCTTGTGGGACATGGTTGCGGGACACTCTTGTGGGACACTCTTGTGAGACACTCTTACGGGACACTCTTGTAGGACACTCTTGTGGGCTGCCAGGCAGTTTCGCGATTCCAGCCCCTCGAAACGACACCCGCTCAAACACCAATC